GAATGTAATGGGGGCAGAAGCGGACGACGAATATGATGAGCAGCAACAGGATGCTGATGAGGAGAAGGAGATGCAGGATGAGGATAAGGAACAATAGCATGATACTGAGCACGATCGTGCTTGCATGCCATGGCCCCCGCAGGCGCGGATGGGAGGGAGCCCCCATCCCCGCTATGCATGCATCATATTTCAATTCCACTCATATGGTGGGAGCCGCCCCATACCAGCCAGTTCAACATAGCAGACGTGCTTGCGTAAACTGGGGCCCGATTGCTTATGCTCGTTCCAGGCTAATCGAGATCACACCACTGGCTGCCAGCGGCGTGCCGGGCCCCTCTCTCTGCCAGTGGCGTGCCGGGCCCCTCTCTCTGAGGAAGCAAGAAGAGGCATCGCCCAGTAAGAACCGATGTCGCCCAGACAGCCTTCTCGGGGACCCAGCGCTGAGCTGGCACACGCGTCGCTCCGAAGCAGCCAGCCCGCGCGTGACTTGGACATGGTTCACGCGACTCCTTGCTCTGGCCATGTGACCCAATCCACGGGCGGCAGCGTCCTACCGTGGACGCCGAGCTCGGCATCTGCGTGCAGCCACCCGCCTCTTATCTTGCATGCCCCCCTCCTCCTCCTCCTCCTCCTCCTCCTCCTCCTCCTCCTCCTTTTCCTCCTCTTCATTCTCATCCTCCTGCTCCCTCCTCCTCCTCCTCCTCCTCCCCTCCTCCCCTCCTCCCTCCGCGTCCCCCCCCCCCCTTCCCTCCCATCCTCCCCTCCCTCGCTCCTCCCCCCCCCCTTCCCCACTCTCCGAGGCAGCCATGGCCTGAGGCCCCGCCCGACGGCGGCCCTCGTCGGCGAGCTTCGCCTCCGAGGCGGCCGCCTCTCCGCGGCTACCGCAGCCCGCCAGCCCCTGCCGCCGAGCCGCCGCCGCCGAGGCGGGGAGAGAAGGAGAGAGGATGAGGAGGAGGAGGAGGAGGAGGAGGAGGAGGAGGAGGAGGAGAACCAGTGTAAACCCAAGAGTCATCAACGATGCTGGAGTAAACCCTCCCTCCAAGTCCCCCTTTCATAGGACCCTACAACGGTTCACTTCCAGTGATGGAACTGCCCCGTTGGAAGACATCCGTTTGAAGACCCTGAAGCATGCCAAAACATTGTTCTCGGGACTCCAGCGCCACGGATCAACCTGACTGTTGCGTCTTGACGATCCTGAATCGTGCCAGAACGCCATTCTTAGGACTCCAACACCGAGAGCCAACGTAACTGTGGCACCCGCATAATCCTGATGATGGGAATCCGCGGAACTCTCGGAACCTGTTAAAACGAGCGTGCGCGGTGCCAAGGCGAGAGCCACATTTTGAAAAGGAACCGTCCTCAATCCGCGAATATCTTGCACATTGTTAAATCAAATGTGCGCCGCGCTAAGGCGAGAGCCAGCTTTTGAACACGACTCGCCCTCAAACCGCGAAACGCTTGGAACTTTTTCAGACGAATGTGCGCCGCGCTGCCCTCAATCATTGACACGATTGCAAATGTTTAAAGCGAACGTGCGCCGCGTGCATGCGTGAGCCACAGTTTGAAATCCACCCGCCCTCAATCCGTGAAGCTCTTGCGGTTTGTGCAAAAGAATGTGCGCCGCGCTACGGCGAGAGCCACAGTTTGAACACCACCCGCCCTCTATCTGCGAAACTGCTGCCACTTCTTAAGGTTCAGAATCATGAATGGTGATGGAGTATCCGGCGAAACGCCCAGCCCGCCCTAAAATTTGGCCTCGGGGTGCGGCAGGGAGAAGTTATGCAGAAGGAAAAGGAATGGAAGGGGGAGGATGAGGAGGATGATGATGAGGAGGAGAGGGAGGAGGAGTGGAAGAGACGGACAAGTAGACGGACTTGACATTTTCTGCTTCTCCTCCTCCTCCTCCTCCTCCTCCTCCTCCTCTTGCTCCTCCTCCTCCATCTCCTCCTCCTCCTCCTTCTCCTCCTCCTCCTCCTCCGCCTCCTTCTTCTCCCCCTCCTCCTTATCCTCCTTCTCCTCCTCCTCCTCCTGCCCCTCCGCCTCCTCCTGCCGTCCCCCATTTTTCAGGGTACTGCCACTCCCCCCTTTCCCATCAGCATCCCGCCTCCAACTCATCCCTCCGCTACCTCCGCCTGCACATTCCCTGCATCCCCCGTTGCTCTCCTCTTCCCCTATTCCTCCTCCTCCTCCTCCTCCTCATCCTTCCTCCTCCTTCTCCCCCTACCTTCCTCCTCCTCATTTTACCTGACCTTTTCTTCCACTCCTCCTCCTCCTCTCCTTCTCCTCCTCCTCCTGCTCCTCTTCTCCTCCTTATCCTTCTCCTCCTCCTCCTCCTCCTCCCCCTCCTCCTCTTGCTCCTGCCCCTCCTCCTCCTCCTGCTTTCCCCCTGTCTTTCGGGGTACTGTCACTCCCCCCTTTCCCATCACCATCCCGTCTCCAACTCATCCCTCCGCTTCCTCCGCCTGCACAGTCCTTGCATCCCCCGTCGTTCTTTTTCCCTTATTCCTCCTCCTCCTCGTCATTCCGTTCTCATCTTCCTCATCCTCCTTCTCCTCCTCGTCCTCGTCTTTGTCCTCGCTCCTCTTGCGTGCGCGCGGGATCGCAACCGTGGGGCGGACCAGGCCCGCACGGACACCACAGTTGCGCAGTTGCTCTGGGCAGCCGTGACAGCACGAGGTGGGCCTCCTCCCTGCTCCGTCCCCCCTTCTGGCTCCCCCGTCCTCACTGCTCTGTGCCCCTATCCTTCCTCTGCACGCTTCTCTTCTCGCTCTTCCCCTTTCGCGTCGTCATCCCCGGCCTTCCTCCAGCCTCCTCCGAAGAGTCGTTCTCATCGTCTGCCTGCCTCCTGTCACCGTCCTCCTCCATCTCCTCCTCGCCATCCCGCCTCGCCCTCTCCTCGTCCTCGTCCTGTTCCTCGGCCTCCGTCCTCCTGCCTCGTCCTGTTCTTCCGTTCTCCTCCTCCCCCCTCCTGCCACCTACCTGCTCCATCATCTCTCCTCGCTCCTCCCCTCCTCCTTCAAGAAGGGGAGCAACGGTCTTAGGCGATCAGGTAGCAAGCTCGTTTTTGTTTGCAGTTGAAGGCCTATCTTTGTAGAGCCAAGCCAGACCCTACTACCTGGACCAGGCTCGAAAGTATACAGTCACCACTCCTCCCTTCCTCCTACTGTGTGCCCTTCCCTCTGTTCTAAACCCTTCCCACCTGGGAAGGCCGTCCATATTTACCCCCGCCGAGTCTCAACGCCTCGCCCATTCCTAGCCGCCAAGCGATTTAGATTCGAGGCTGGGTGCAAGCAGCGATACTCAGGAACACAAGCTCCCAGTACGAGGCCTGTTCCTCTGCAAATCCCTGAGGGGCCAATCAACTTACCTGAGCTAGCCAGGCCCATCCACAATACAGGAGCCGGGCACTTTCAGGGCGTAGCCTTGACGAGCGGACCCAGCCAGTGCATGCAGGATGTGAGGTGCAGGTCACCCATGGGACTGACCACATCCACTTCCACTCCGTCCTCGCTGCGATGTCCTCCCTTATTTCCTTCTCCTCGCAGGCTCTCCTGACCTTGGCTCCGCCCGTGTCAGCTCGCATTTTTGCATTCGCGCCCCCTTCTGAGTCCCATGAATTCGCTTCAGGTCCGCGGCTCTCCTCATTAGGGTTTGGCACGACTTTTACATTCAAGGAGAGGGGCTGACCACTTCAACCACCAGAGGCAACCAGCCCATTACTTTTCGCTTGATGAGCAAGCACTGGTGCGATGACTATGGTCCGAATGTGCAACATGCGAGAAGCACAGCTCCCATGGGTGTTGCCCTAATCCAATCCTAACCCCTTTGGCACATCTGTCGTGGCACATCTGTGCTCCCGCATTTGGCCGTTGAGCAGTGGCCTGTTCGTCCCGCTGTCCACTGCTCGATCATGGCGAGGTCCTTCCTCTTGTAAAGTCAGTGCGCTGGCCTCTCTTTGGATGGATCGGCGCGCATCAGGCTATGTCTCCTTCTCCTCCTCCTCCACCTCCTCCTCCCGCGTCCTCCTCCACGTCGCCCTTTCCTCTTGTCCAGCTTCTCCAGCCTCCCCCTTCCTCCTCCACCTCTCCCTCCTCCTCGTCCTCCTCCTCCTTCTTCTTCTTCATCTTCTTCTCGCCCCACTCCTACATCTCAAGGGCGGCACATTTTTTTCGCGCCACGCCGGCAGCCACCCCAGCCGCGGCGGCGGCCAAAGGCAGCGGCAGCGATGGACTCTGCGTCGGCTCCGCGCGGGTCCCTGAAGGTAAGCTGCGCGGGGCAGGATGAGGAGGAGAGTTGGGGAGGGAGGAAGAGAATGATGAGGTCGGGGAAGGGATGTGGAGGAGGAAGAGAAAGAGGAGGAAGAGGAGGAGGAGGAGGAGGAGGAGGAGGAGGAGGGAGAAGGTGGGGGGAGGTAGGTGGACAATGAGGGAAAAGGAGGAGGAGCTGGAGAAGGAGGAGGAGGATGAGGAGGAGAATGAGGACCAGTGCACACCCAAGACTCATCAACGATGTTGAAATAGATCATTCCTCCAAGATCTCTTTTCTCAGGCCCCTACAACGGGTCGTTTTCACCGAAGGAGCTGCCCGTCTGGGGGAGAACCGTGTGCTCATCTTGAAGCGTGCCACGACACCAGTCGCAGGACTTGAAGAACGCCACGAGTTCACCTGACTGTTACGTCTTGGCGATCCCGAATCGTGCCAGAACGCCCTGCTTAGGACTTCAACACCGCGAATCGACGTAACTGTTGCGCCCTGATTATCTTGAGCTGCCACCACTTCTGGTACGTTAGCCGTGGGAACCAGTGGAATTCTTGGACATGTGTACAAACGAATGTGCGCGGCACTAAGGCGGGAGCCACATTTGGCAAACGAGCCGCCTTCAATCCGTGAAGCTCGTGAACATTGTCCAAAGAGAACGTGCGCAGCGCGGAGGGAGTGGGCAACCTCGGGGGCGGGAACAACGGGCTTTCCCGCGCCGGCGCCGATCTGGGTCCCTCGAGGTGATCGGCGCGGGCTGCGGCCGCACCGGCACGGCGTCCCTGAAGAAGGCCAGGCCTCCTCCGCGTGTTCTCCCCGCCCTGCTCCTCGGAGGAGGAAGTGTCAACGATACCGCTACCTTTCGTGAGTGCTTCGTGAGTTTTCGCCTCGGGGGGCCTCCTGGGAGGCCCTCGCCGCCCCGGCCGGTTTCGCCTCGAAACTTGCCTCAAAACGCACTGCGGGAGAGGTCTGGGGAATACCGGCATGGGTATCTTCTGGTTTCCCCAGCCCCCTATCCCTTCCATCCTCCTCCTCGCTTCCTGCCCCGCTCCTCACCCCTCTTTCTCTACCGTCTCTCTTCTTCCTCCTCTCTTTTCCCCTCTTCCGTTCCCCCTACATGTTTCCTTCCCAATCCTCCTCTCCCCCCGCCCCGATGTCGCAATTGCGAAATGGTCGTCGCGCAGCTAACGCCTGCCCAGCCACGCCCACGCAGGAACGCTCGCAGGGCGCAGCCCAGATCACGCCCCTAGATGCAAAGAGAACTCCGAGCAGGAATTTTTGAACCAGTCTGGCGCAAGGCGAAACTTGGTCTACATCAGGCCAGGTTCGGTGAAGAGGAAGGGTCGCCCCAAAAATTGACCAGGGAGGAGGAGGAGGAGGAGGAGGAGGAGGAGGAGGAAGATTCGTGGTCGAGGCTAGATTTGACCACAAAGGCGCTTTCGTTCCCTATCCAGCGTTCCTCATGGTAGCACGATGACTGGCTGTGCCCTTGCCCGCCCTCGCCCTGGGCCGCCGGCAGCTCATGGGCGCCACGAGCCGATGCGGACCGTGCGCGCCGTCCTGGCCCGCACCCCGCACATTCCCAGCACGCCGTCCTCAAGCAGTGGCGAAGCGTCCTGGCCTGTCTACAGGCTCACCAAAGAATGTTCTGAGAACCCCCCGTGCTTTGCACGACATAGTTTTAGGAAATGTTTGGTCGAGACTGTCTTGTCTGAGTGCATCGGGCTCCTGTTATAAGAAGGCTGCTTTTGTTATTAGATTATTCGGGGGAGCGTAAGACCTGGGTTTGCCAGGACTCGGGTTCGCCATCGTTTTTTGACGACCGCGCCTCGGATTTTGACGAGGAGGAGTTTTGTAGGATGTCTGCAGCGGGAGGCCTCGTCAAAATGCAGGCTCGGCCTCGTCATTTTTTGACGACCTCGTCGGGGATTTCCGAGTCCCCCGTACCCGGGTCTTACGTCTCCCCGAATTATGTATCTGGGTTCTAAGAACATGTCGTGGTAGGCCTAAAGAGATGCCGGGACGGTCGGTCCCTGCTCGAGTCCTGGCCCGCACCCCGCACACTCCCAGTACACCTGCCCCAGTTCCAGGAGAGGGCGCCCACGAGGGCGTCCATCGACCACGGCGTCGGGGCTGGGGCTCGAGCGGCCTCGCGCCTTGGGCCAGGCGCCCACGAATTGGCCTGCCCCAGCGCGCCGCCTTGTTTCCAACTTCGCCCCATGGTGCACATTTCGGGGGCGGCCAGGAGGGGTTGATGACTGGGGGGGGTCTGGAAGGCGCACCTGCAGTTGCAGTCGGGTGCCCAGGTTAGCCATCACGTCTCTCCCTTTCCCCCTCCCCTCCGCGACGTCCCGTACCTCGTGGACCCTGACCTCAACGGCCACAATCGTAAAACGGATAGGATGGATGGCAGATGGTGCTCCGAATTTGGTTTTCACTGGACGCGCTTGTGCAGGTGATGCAGTTGGAAGTCGACCTTCCCAACGCTCGCACGGATGTAATATTGAAAATCAGATTGCCGCTTGAGGCGCTGACGCGTCTGATGACCCTATAGTTTGAACGGTTCCGCAGCGACGAGGATCTACAGCAAGTGATTTGCAACGCCATGTCGCTTGAGACTTCGTCATGACCATGGTGTTTTCAGGATCCTGAAGCTCTGCCGCAGCAGAGCGGAGAGATACCAATCCCACGATACGACTCCCTCGCACTATTCTTCCAGAATGTATTTTTCCAGCGTGAGCTTTCCAACACGGCGTGAGTATATCCCAGCGTGCGCATATGGTTTTCCAGCGTGAGCGTTCCAGCGTAGCCATGTTGGCTCAAGCAGTTAAGGAGGCTCGAGCACGCACCCTGAGGCGGTTCCAGCACCCGGCCCGCGCCACTCGCTCGCCCCGCTGGCAAGCCGGTGCGCTGCGAGTGGCCCGCCATGCCCTGCTGCCGCCGCGGCCGCCGCGGCGCGGCCGCGGCAGCGGTCGGCGCAGCCCTGGCGGCGGCCGCGGGGCGTGGGCACGTGGCCTTGCTGGAGGCCTTCGCCGGGCCGGCCGCGGGGCCCGCCCCGGTTCGCGGGGCGCGCCTGCGCTCTGCGGCCGCCAGCCGCCGGTCGCGGGGCGCGTGCTCCGGCCGCGGCAGGGCACGGCGGCGCGGGTAGCGCGGAGCGCCAAGGCGGCGTCAAGCACATCTATTGGCACAGTAGTTACCAAGTGTGGCGTTGTATGTACAAGATAAAGAACGGCCCGGACAAGGGTTGCAGGGAGCAGCGCAATTTCCGCCCCAAGGACGAATCGCTAGAGGAGGTGGAGCGGGCGCGGCTCGCCGCCGTGGAGGCGCTGCGGCGGCTCGAGGAGGAAGACAAGCTCGGGCGGGCCCGCGCTGGCGACCGCCACCGTGCGGAGCGCCAGAGCGGCGTCAAGTGCGTATCGTGGGACACAGCAAGCCAGGCGTGGCGTGTTCGGTATAGGATATAATGAATGGCCCAGACAAAGGTTGCATGAAGCGCCCCAGCTTCCGCCCGAAGGACGAGTCGCCGGAGGAGGTGGAGCGGGCGCGGCTCGCCACCGTCGAGGCGCTGCGGACAGCGCGCTCGGGCCGAGCAGCTCGGGCGAGCGCCGCGCCGGCCGCGGCCGCGGGGAGGCGCCCGCCGCGCGCGCCGAGGATGGGGAGGAGCGGCCGGCAGCCTTCCGCGGGCGCTACCCCATCGACGACGGCGCCTCCGACCTCTTGGCGAGGCAGCCAGCCGAGGTGCAGTCCATGGTGATCTCGAGCTTCTGGCCGCCAGAGGAGGGCCTGTCCGACTACTCGGCGCTGCTGGCGAGCGTCGTCCAGACCATCACGGATGCCCCACGGCGGCCGCGCCAGGTCGCGACGTTCTCGACGGGCTGCCTCTGAGAGTCGCAGAAATTGTTCGACGGGAGGAGCGGGGTCCTCAGCACCACGGTCGGCTACACTGGCGTTAACACGCTGATGAAGCCCACGCACGAGAGCGTGCAACTTGGGGACGGGCACTTCGAAGCAATCCGCATAGAGTTCGACCCTGAGCTGATCACCTACGACGCGCTCCTCACTCACTTTGACTGCATTCGCGAGCGCACGCCAGCATCAGTGGGCTTGGCGTTCACTGGGGTGGCACAGCTCCACCCTGCCGCTCTGAAGGCTGGGGCCAAGACGCAGCACCACTCGGCAGTCTGGTACCACGACGAGGAGCAGAAGAAGGCCCTGCAGGCACGCGCCAGACGAGGCGCCCCAGAGGTCCACGCCGCGCGCATGGAGACCTGGCACGATGCGGAGAGACACCACCAGAAGTTTTACCAGCAGGGCTGCAGCGTGCAGTGACGCGCAGACTCCATCCCTTCTCCTCCTTCTGCCCCCTCCTCCTTCCCCGCTCTCCCGAGGCCTGGACGGGCCGAGGGGCAGAAGGCCCTCCGGTCGGGAGCTTGGCCCTTGTGGCCAAGCAGTCTGCTTCCCTCCCCGAGCGGCGCGCGGGCCGCCACGGGGCGCAGCGGGAGCATCCGCGTTCGCGTCGCGAGGCCTGCGCCCCCTCTGGCGCGCAGGGCGGTGGCAGCCGCGTCGCTGCGCCGCCGTCGCCGCGCTCGTCGGCCTCATCGCAGGGCATCTTGCTCGTGCACGGCATCGCTTCCCCTGGCTGCAGGAATCTCTCTCCTGCTCCTCGTCCTTCTCGTCCTCCTGCTCCTCCGCCTCCTCCGCGTCCTCCTTCGCTCCTGGACGTCGTTGCGCGTGGGTTATAGGGCCATGGGCGCCAGATCTGCTGGCCAGAGCGCCAGACCAGTCGGGAGTGAATCCTCCAGGAAGAAGCGATGCTGATTATTGGTTAGGGGTCGGAGCGGCTCTGGTGGTTCACTGCTCCTGCACGTCATGGTCGTTGCCGACTCGGCGCAGAACATGTCCCAGGCATCGAGATGCAGACAGGCCGCGCTTGCGCCACTCTGGGAGCGCATCGACCTTTTGGATTTCACGCGCGCGTGCTCTCGCAAGCACGGCCTGGCAATCTGCATCGACGCCCCCAAAAAAGCATGAGCATTCCAACACTTCAGCTTCGCAGTCTCCACCTCCGACTTGTCCCTCCTTGATCGTCAACATCCTTCTTCCTCCTCCCTCTGCACATCCTGATGTAGGTTCGCTCTGGGTCGATGTGGTGACGATGTGACGATCCCAGCGCGGGCGTTCAAGGTTGAACGTCTCCTGTGGCCGAAATCGGCCGAAATCGAGCGATTCGGCTCATCGGAAGCCCACGATCCTTCAATGTTGAAGCCAACGCAAGAGTCAGCACAACACGAACCCGTCATACTCATTCCCCTGTTCATATGGCGCCATCATTACCAGCATCTCTATCCATCTCTCTATCTGTATCTCTCGCTCGCTCGCCCTACCCCTCTTCTCATTCGCGGTATCAGCCCGTGCATTCCACTATGGGTATGGTATCTTTAAAGATGCCAGATGTTTCGTTGTGTATACCTATTTACACATATGCGTGCAATTATTCGTGTGTGTATATATGTGTCTCCATATGTCCCTACACTGTTCGTACAGACACAGCTAGCTTTCTATATCTCTCTCCCTCTCCTTTTCTCTCTCTGTCTCTCTCTCTCTCTCTCGTTCTCGTTCTTCCGCCCCCTCCCATCCGCCCCATTAGCCGTGCATCGTCCCAATCAGTCTCATGCTCATCCTCTCCAACCTGGTTATTCCCCACTTCTTCCTTCTCCCCCCGGCACATTCTGACCATGGTCATCCCTCATCCCCCTCCTCTCTCATTATCCGTCTCCTTCCCGACTTTCACGTGCTCTGGTGCATCCTCGAATATTGAATCGTTATCATCACCACAATTGCCATCATCGTCCCCCTTTGGTCTCTTCCCCATTTTCCTTTTATTCTGCTGCCCTACATGTGTGCCTCCCCCACGGCGTGATCCTCCTGCATGTCATCATCACCCCTTCTGCTCCCCGTCCTCCCTTCAGAGCCTTTGACTTGCTCCGCGGTTCCTCTGTGTTCCTTCTCGTCATTGTCATATTCTCCCCATCCCTCGCCCCCCCCCCACCTCCTCCTCCCCCCTCATATCACTCACTCGCCTTCTTCGCCCTAACCCTTGTCGTTCTGATCCCGCCCTGTTTCCTCACTCTCACATCCTGCCTCTCCGTGCTGGTATACCTTTTCCGCTTACTATGTTCTCCCATTTTCTCGTCCTCTTGCTCTTCCCCCCCCCTTCCCCTACCCCCCCACCACTCCAACCATTGTCATCACGGTCTTCCTCATAATTCTCCTCGTCCTTGCTATCCCCCTCTCTTGTCATTCTCCTCGCTTCCGCTTTGCTCCCACTCACACTTCTCCCTCCACTCCTGGAGCAAAGGCCCTGGAGATGTTGGGCTTCGACCCCTGCTACCACATGTTCGAAGTGATAAGCCGGGGCCACGAG